TTATGGCATGTCTAATATTCTTAAGTAAAATATGTAAAGGGCAGCTAAGTAAATAAAACGTGAAGGGAAGAGACAGTTCCAGTACAAGGTGGCTTCTGCTAAAGGCAGAAATGGTAGCATACACTTCTTCTAATAGGCAGCATATCTTTCCCCAGTGGTTTTCAGTATGTTCATAAAGATGTGGTACTACAACTGCTATCTCATTTTACATTTTTTTTTTGTCATCTAAGAGAGACTCTTTGGCAATCACTCATCCTCATTCCCACGCCCCAAAATATTAATTTTCTTTCTTTCTTTTTTGTCCTGTTCCTGCTTGAACTCAGGGCCTAGGCTTTCTCTCTCTGAGCTTTTTTTGGGTCCAAGTCTAGTGTCTACCACTTGAGCCACAGCTCCACTTACGGAATATTGCTGGTTAATTGGAGATAAAAGTCTTATGGACTGTCCTGCTGGGTCAGCTTAGAACTACTTTTCTCAGATCTCAGCCTCTTGAGTAGCTAGAATTACAAGTGTGAGCCACTGATGTCTGCTTATTTTTCTTTTCTCTTTTTTCTTTTCTTTTTAATTTTTGATTGTGAAAATACCTTACAAAGGGGTTAAAATTACATGGTCTAGGTAATGAGTACATTTCTTATCAAGCATTGTTGCCTCCTCCTTTGTTTCCCCTTCCCATCCCTTCCTATCTCCCCCCCATCCCCGCCCCTGCTCAGCCAAAGTTGTAAAGTTCTTTTTTCAACATAGTGACTTGTCCATGTCATTGTTGCAATGAGTCCACTTGTATCCCTATTTAAACAGTTTGTTTTTGCCCTTCCCCTCCACAAACTATACCAACATCAAATACAAGCTTGTTCCAAGCCTGGGACTCCAAATCAGTATTTGACTCTTTGCTCACTGGCTAGCACTCTATGAATTGAGCCATGCCTCTAACATCAGTTTACTTTTTATGTCTATGGATCTGCCTGTTCTTGATGCTTATATAAACTTAATCACATATTGTGTGATCTTTCGTATTGTGTGATTTTACTTGGCATGATTCCAGAGTTCATCCATGTCACATCCTATGCCAGAGCTCTATTTTTAAAATATGATAAAGCTGGTGTCAGTGGCTCACACTTGTAATCCTAGCTACTCAGGAGACTGAGATCTAAGGATCATGGATTGAAGCCAGCCCCAAAGTCCGTAAGACTTATTTCCAATAAACTACTCAGAAAAAGCCGGAAATGGTGCTGTGGCTTAAGTGGTAGAGTGCTAGCCTTAAGCTCAGAGAGGCTCAGGGACATTGCCCAGGCCTTGAGTTCAAGCCCCAGGACCTGCAATAAACAAACAAACAAATAATATGATAAACCTAAGCAATATTTCATTAGATGTAGGGTATTTTTGTCCATTCATTCATCAAACAGTGGGGTTGTTTCTAATGTTTTCCTTTAAAGAATAATGTCATAATGAGCACAAGTTTTTGTGCACTTTTCATTCTCTTTTATATCTATCTAGCAGCAGATTTTTGGGCCTTGTAGTATCTCTATATTTCACTTTTGGAGAAACAACTGAATTGTTTTCCAAAGAAGATATACCATTTTACATTTCCCCAATCAGTATCTCATTGTAATCTTGATTTCCTTTTCTTTCTTTTCATGTGCTTAGTGGCCATTTGTATATCTTCACTGCAGAAAAGTTTCTTCAAATCCTCTGTCTATAAAATACTTATTTTTTTAAACCATTGGACATAAAAGTTTTCTAAGTGGTAGCTTAAGAGACTCTTTAATTTTTATATAGACAATTTTCAAGTGGTCTCTCCCTCTCTGTGGATTGTCTTTAGTCTCTTGGTAGTGCTCTTTGAAGCACACATGTTTTTAGTTTTCAAGAAGTCCAATTTGTCAAAGGTTTTTTTGGGGGGGAGGGCTTGTAATTTTGCTGTTTTATGAAAGAAATCATTATCTCATCCAGAAACAAAGATTTATTACTGCATCTATTTAAGAGTTGCATACTTTTAGCTATATGTGCAAATCCTTTATCCATTTGAGTTAATATCTATATATGGTGTGAAGTAGGGATATGATCATATTATTTTACATGTGAATTTCCATTATCCATGTCACTATTTGTTACAGATACTATTATCTCCACTTTGAATAATCTCAGTTTCCCTGTCAAAAATCAATTGAACATCTGGGATCCAGTGGCTCACACCTATCTATAATCCTAGCAACTCAGGGGGCTGAGATCTAAGGATCATTGTTCAAAGCCAGCCCAGGCAAGAAAGTTCCTGAGACTCTTATCTCAATTAACCATCAAAAAGCCAGAAGTAGAGCTGTGGCTCAAGTGGTAGAGTGCTAGCCTTGATCAAAAAAAGTTCAAGGAAGCATCCAGGTCCTGAGTTCAAGACTTAGGACTGGCATATATACACATGCACACATACACATGCATTTTAACACATACACACACACAATCAATTGACTATCAACTTAATGGTTTTCATTTCTGGATTTTCAGTTCTATCCCACATATTAGTTCCATGCTGTTTGATTAATGTTGCCTTGTAATAAGTCTTGAAATTGAAATTTTCAAGATTGGGTTAGTATTCTGGTGTGTGTGTGTGTGTGTGTGTGTGTGTGTGTGTGTGTGTGTGTGTGAGTGTGTGTGCGTGTGTGAGAGAGAGAGAGAGAGAGAGAGATAAAATTTAAGATCTGCTTATCCATTTCTTTAAAAAATGGCTGGAATTTCAATAGTCTCTATTAGGTGCTACTGAGTCCCTTACTAGGTGCTATTGCTACTTTTGTTAATCTTATGATTTTTGTTCTTTTCTACTAACTTATCATATTGCATTGATTCATTTTCTATGTTGAAATATTTTGTATTCATGAGATAAATTTCCATAGGTCATGGTATATAGTTCTTTTATACTTATACATTTCATTTATCAAAAGAGTTTTAAGTAAATGTGTCATAAACCACAGTGTTAGATTGGAAGGGAAAGAATTAGTAAGTTATTGATGGGAATATGAATTAGGATAGCTGCTACTGGTCACAATTTAGCAATATATGTGCAAAATACCAATGCATATACTTGTTAATTCAAAAATTATAACTTTAATAACTTATTCAACAAAATATATTCACATTCACATGTATGAATGAAGTCATCCACCACACCATTGTTTATAATAATAAAAGATGTACAAATAACTTTAATGTCAGTTTATAGGAGACTGAAAAAATTAGAATACATAATTGTGTATGGAAAGTAAGAGCAAAAGCAGGGGAAGAGTAGTGAGGGAGGGAAAGAATAAGAGAGAGAAGCTATTTATGTATTATTATCTGAAGATTGGGAAGATTTCCAAGACATATTTAAAGTATAATACAAAAATGCATAATAATGTATATAGGGCATATTACTATTTGTATAAAAAGCTAAAGTAATGAATATTTTTATTGCTTGTAGGTTTGGCAAGATACAGAGATAATTCACTGTTTATTGGAAAAGTAGTAAATTTGAGGCTGAGGCTAAATTTGCAGATTGTTCCTATATTGTATATTGTAAAAGCAAATACAAATATCATAACTAATTGTAACCACCACTAAAACAAAAATGAAAGAGAAAAATGAAATCACTGTTGCAAGTAGCTAAAAGAATACAAACAGATATCTATAAAAATGTACAAATTTATGTAAAAGTCTCAAAGAATAGTAGGAAAATGTGAAAAACTATCAATTACCAACAGGGGTGTCTAATGTAAAAGACAAGATAATAAGGGTAGACAGCCTAACAATTGAGAGTGGAACACAGTCTAGGAAAGCTGGTAGTGATTGATCAAACCCACATCTTACATGATAGAAGTTGATGGAGATAACTGTATCAGAATACCTCTGTAAGTTTCCAAGAAAAGAAAACAGAAACTGATGTTCAAGAAGGGGAATATAATTTTGTGTTCAGACTTTCCTAGAACCATATCCAATGCTAGCAATTTCAGAACAATGTCTGTAAAGTTTAAAAGAAAGGGTCACCATCATATTTTCTGTCCAGTTATACCATGGTGCAATAATTTAAAAAATCCAGGAAAAAACATTGTCAAACATAAAAATAATCAAGAAATATTGTATCCATAAACATTCTTCCTAAAACCACTGGAGGATGAACTTTAGCCTACCAAAATAGGAACTCAGAAGTCAAGATAAATAGAGTCGTGGTGAGGAGCAAATCCCTTTAAATGTTAAATTAATGGACAACTGTGGGAATTATGCTTATGGAATTGAATATGGAAATTTTACACCATGAAATTGTAGAAATGTTATAACTAATAAAAGCAGAAGAGTGAGAAAAATGTAGGAAGTAACATATGGAGCTAAAATGGCTTAGAAGAGGTCATATTTCATTATGTATTTTAAAAAATGGACTATATAAACATGGCAAATTAGTGGCAGAAAATAAGCCTGGGAAAGAGCTTGTTATAATATTAGTGCAGTGGGAAAGGTTCTTCTGTCTTTGTGGTGTAGAGCGATTTTTTAAAAAAAAATATATGTGAATTTATTTTCTGTAGTGTTTGCCTGTAATAGAAACCCAATGGTCAGAATACTGTCTATATCAAAGATTCAGTTCCCAAGCTGGAACCAAATAGAGATTTATGTCTTGCCAAAAGTTCAGGGCCAGAATATTACATTTGTTAAGATTCTCTTCTGGAAAAAATAATAGAATCCTCTGCCCCTACATATACAAGAATTATTGTATGTAGGATCATTGGCAAGTATAGAGTCTCAAAATATAGACTACACTTTCAGAAACAATTCTTTTCTTTAAATTTTTATTATAAAGGTGATGTACAGAGAGGTTACAGTTGCATAAGTCAGGTAATGAGTATGTTTCCTTTTGAACAGTGTCACCCCTTTCCTCATTCTCTCCCAATTTTTCTCCTCCTAACTTCCCCCCTCCCAAGTTGTATATACAGTTCATTTCCAGTATAGTGCTTAGTGGGTTTCACTGCTGAATTGGCTCAACCTTTGTCCCACAGGAGCAATTCTTAAAACAACATAACAAAACCGTTCTGGTAAGATTTCAGTGTGACCCATGAACTGCTGTCTCTAAGTATGGTGAAGATGCCCTTCAGGCTCAGCTCTTGGGTATTGATTGGTTTCAGGATGTTGGCACATATGCACTAACTGTCAATTCCAGAGGCGACAGCCAGGGGTAAATCAGATATCCAGGTAAAAATCAGATACATTAGTCAGATATGCCCTCTGAGCTCAGGGATTTCCCTTTAATTTTCATATTCCTCAAGATGGATCATATCTCTGTAGGAAATCCCACTAATTGTTTTCTTCTGTTCAGACAATTCTGTAGTCGGTTTGATATCTTTTCCCCTAAACCTCTCTTCTTTTCTCACTATTAATATATACTACTAGGCTAGGTTATAGAGTCTAGAAGACTTTTATTTTTCTTCAGGTTTGGAGATACCAGATGGCTATTATGAAATAGAGTAGGAGATAATTTTACCAGACAGGATCACAAAACCTTTTGGGCTACAGAATATCTGATTATTTGTTACTCAAGGTTTGTGGCTAGTGAGGCTATTTAATCAATAAAGCAGAGATTACCTTCAAGTTTGGTGTCTGATGTTCATGTAGAAATGTACTGAGCATCTCCTGTTATAGGACTTTTCTCACTGGCCTCATGCCTCTCTAGCTGAGACCTTCCTTATGTGGCTGGTACTCCCCTCTTCTCCCAAGAGAAGTACTTCACATTTTTCCATTCTTCATATACTCCCTATCTTCTCACAACTGCCGCCAACAGGCCCTTAAAGCCCACCTCAGTTTGTCTTACTGTTTTGTCGTCTGTTTTAGATTATGACTTGAGGAGATTCACTAAATTACTTTTTCAAAACAAATGAATAAAGTTAAAAAAAAAACTTCCTTCCTCATACAAATTATTTCCCCTTCCCCTAGAAGTAAAAATCCTTTCAGAATTTTGTTTACAATATGGCCAATTTGCTCTGCCTGATAAAACTGTAGTAGAAATTGTAATTTGTAAAGATTTAAATGGGAAATCCATAAAAGGGAGAAAAAGGTAACATGGAGATTTGACATGAACAAAAAGAATGGAAATAATTTTTTTGTTGTTTTTTTAATATATATTTTTATTGTAAAGATACTGTACAGAGGGGTTACAGTTACATGAGTAAGGTAATGAGTACATTTCCTGTCGAGCATTGTTACCCCCCCCCCCCTTTGTTACTCCCTACCATCTCTTCCCTCCCTACCTCTCCAACTCTTCCTCCTCTCCACACAAAATGTAAAGTTCATTTTCAACATAGTGTCTTGTACATCTCATTGTTATAGTGGGTCAGCCTGTATCCTTGTTTCAGCATTTTGTTATTTCCCTTCCCCTCCCCAAATTAGATGTGTAAGCAAGGGTACTGTGAAAACAGGGGTTATACCATGGAGGAAGAACATATGAAAGAAAAGAAATCACATAGTACATTATAAGTACATTAAAAACAACAGCAACAAAAAAGATCCTCGTATATCCCCATCTTGGGGTTCATTTCATTTAGTATCATCTTATAGTCATATGTGTATAGTTTTTGACCTTTTCTATTTTTCTGGTAAGATTATCCTAGACGTATACTAGCTATTGCAAATAACTATGTTTCTTTGGGCCTGGCTTACTTCACTTGGTATAATTTTTTTCAAGTCTTTCCATTTCCTAACAAATGGGGCGGCGCCATTATTTCTGATGGAGGCATAGAATTCCATTGGATCATTGGGTTTTTGTTTCTTTGTTTTTGTTTTTGTTTGTTGGTCATGGGGCCTGAACTCTGGGTCTTGGCCGCTGTCCCTCAGCTCTTCAGCAAGGCTAGCGCTCTACCTACCACTTGAGCCACAGCACCACTTCCGGCATTTTCTGCTTATATGGTGCTGAGGAATGGAATCCAGGACCTCATGCATGCAAGGCAAGCACTCTATGACTGAGCCACCTTCCCAGCCCTGATCATTGGTTTTAAAGTGACTAGGGACATTGATGGATTAATATCTGCCATATTTACTACTATAGTTTATTTGTTGCCTTTGTTCTTGGTTCTTATTTTTTTTTTAAATTTTATTTTATTTGAGAACATACTGTACAGAGGGGTTACAATTACATGGGCAGGATAATGCATACAGTTCTTACCAAGCATTGCAGCCTCCTCCTTTGTTTACCCTTCACCTCCCTTCCCAGCCTCCCCCCTCCCCCCCACCCAATCATACCCCCCTCCCCCCCCTCCGACATTGTAAAGTTGGTTTTGACATGACATTTTGTTTTTTGTTTTTTTTTTTTAATTTTTTTAATTTAATTTTATTTGTGAACATACTGTACAGAGGGGTTATAATTACATGGGCAGGATAATGCGTACATTTCTTTTTTTTGTTTTGTTTTGTTTTGTTTTTTTTAATTTAATTTTATTTTATTTGAGAACATACTGTACAGAGGGGTTACAATTACATGGGCAGGATAATGCATACATTTCTTACCAAGCATTGCAGCCTCCTCCTTTGTTTACCCTTCACCTCCCTTCCCTCCCTCCCCCCTCCCCCCCACCCAATCATAACCCCCCTCCCCCCCCCACCGACATTGTAAAGCTGGTTTTGACATGACATTCTGTACTTCTCATTGTTGCAACAGGTCCACCTGAATCCTTAAACGACTTGTTTGTCCCCGTCTCCTCCACATGTTATACTGACATCAAATATAGTGAAAGCGGGGGTTACACTGTGGGGGAGGGACGTACAAAGCAACAAAGAAATAATCTTATAAATGCGTTAGAAACACATGCATGAAAGAAACAAAAACATTAAAATACATATTTGAGGGTTCGTTTTCCTAACATCACATTCTCTGACTTTTTCCGCTTGACTCATACCTATACTAGATATTGCAAATAAGGGAAACCATGGGACCTATGTTTCTTTGGGCCTGGCTTACTTCACTTAATATAATTTTTTCCAAGCCTTTCCATTTCCTAACAAATGGGGCAATGTCATTCTTTCTGATGGAGGCATAGAATTCCATTGTGTATATATACCACATTTTCTTGATCCATTCATCTACTGAGGGGCATCTGGGTTGGTTCCATATCTTAGCTATGGTAAATAATGCTGCAATAAACATAGTTGTGCTGGTAGCTTTAGTGTGGTCTTTTTTGTAAACATTAGGGTAAATGCCCAAAAGTGGGATTGCTGGGTCATAGGGGAGTCCTATGTGAAGTCTTTTGAGGAACCTCCATACTGCTTTCCAAAGTGGTTGAACAAGTTTACATTCCCACCAACAATGAAGTAAGGTTCCTTTCTGTCCACATCCCCTCCAGCATCTGTTGTTGTTAGAGTTCTTGATTTTTGCTGTTCTAACTGGAGTGAGGTGATATCTCAATGTTGTTTTGATTTGCATTTCTTTTATGGCTAGGGATGTTGAACATTTCTTCATGTGTCTATTGGCCATCCTTCTTTCTTCTTCAGAGAAGCTTCTCTTTAAGTCTTTCGCCCACTTACTTATTGGGCAGTTGCTTCTTTGAGGATTTGTTGATGGGTGGTTTAATTTTTTGAGTTCCAAGTATATTTTAGATATGAGACCCTTGTCCGTTGTATGGCTAGTAAAGATCTTCTCCCAGTCCGTGGGCTTTCTATTGATCTTGCTAGCTATGTCATTTGCCCTGCAGAAGCTCTGCAACCTTATACAATCCCATTTGTCCAACCTTTCTTTGATTTGTTGTGTTTCCGGGTCTCTATTCAGAAAATTTCGGCCTGAGCCAAGGAGACCCAGGGTTTCTCCTATTCCATCCTGTAATGTTTTCAGAGTGTCTGCTTTGAGTTCAAGGTCTTTGATCCATTTGGAGTTGATTCTGGTGCAGGGTGATATATAAGGATCTAGCTTTAGTTTTCTACATGTAGTTAACCAGTTTTGCCAGCACCATTTACTGAAGAGGCTGTCTGTTTTCCATTCTATTGTTTTAGCTCCCTTATCGAAGATTAGATGGCTATAGGTCTGTAGGTTCATTTCTGGGTTTTCAATTCTATTCCATTGGTCCTGAGGTCTGTTCTTATGCCAATACCAAGCTGTTTTGATTACTGTGGCTTTATAGTAGAGTTTGAAATTTGGTATTGATATTCCTCCAGCAGTGTTCTTTCCGTTGAGGAGCGTTTTTGCTATTCGGGGTCTTTTATTGTTCCATATGAATTTTTGGATTGCCTCTTCTATTTCCTTGAAGAATGAGGGTGGAATTTTGATAGGTATTGCGTTGAATTTGTAGATAGCCTTGGGAAGTATTGCCATTTTCACGATGTTAATCTTTCCAATCCAGGAGCATGGGAGGTTTTGCCATTTTTTAAGTTCTGTGTTGATTTCCTTTTTCAAGATTTTAAAGTTTTCACCATAGAGGTCCTTCACTTCTTTAGTTAAGTTAATTCCTAGGTATTTTATTTTTTGTGGGGCTATTACAAATGGAGTTGCTTTCCTAATTTCAGCCACACTTTTCTCATTGTTGGCATACAGAAAAGCCATTGATTTTTGGGGGTTAATTTTATAACCTGCTACTTTGCCAAAGTTTTGAATCAGCTTGAGTAATTTGGGAGTGGAGTCTATGGGATTCTTTAAATACAAGATCATGTCATCTGCAAAGAGGGAGAGTTTTATTTCTTCTTTCCCTATTTGGATCCCCTTTATGTCTGCATCTTGTCTTATTGCTGTAGCTAGGCATTCTAATACTAGATTGAAGAGAAGTGGAGAGAGTGGGCAACCTTGTCTTGTTCCTGAGTTAAGAGGAAATGGCTTTAGTTTTTCACCACTGAGTATAATGCTGGCTGTAGGTTTGTCATATACAGCCTTTATTGTATTGAGGAATGTTAAGAATGGAAATAATTTTGACCTATGTAGCTGATGTTGGTTTTAAGATCACTGAAAATCAGTAATGAACTTTAGTGTATATTTTATTCCTTGATTTCTGAAAATCAAAATGAAATTCATTTCTTTTGATCTTATTCTTGCATAGGTCACCTTTCTTCTTTGATCTGATATCG